AGTCCTGTGATTGTAGAAAGGTCAAAAGAGCTAACGGTTCATATTTGGTTAAATAATAGTAAAAGACAGAAAGACTTTCTTCTCACACTTGATACATTTCTTGCCTAAATGACCAGATCATTCTTCTGGACTCTAAAACACAGGAAGTATCAACGTAGAAGAAAAAGATTTTTCTCTTTTCAGATTTTAAACCTTTAAGAATTACAGCTGATACTTACACAGCTTTTTCTTATGTAACGACCTGTATTTATTTTAATGTTGTGGGTTGAAATGATTCATTCGTAATTTCAACATCAGCAAAGGAAAGAAAGTGTTTAAGAACAAGTTTGGGAGGTTCGGGCTATTCGAGCTGTTGACATTTGCAGGAAAAATAAATTTGTGATTCAAAAAAGGACAGATGACAAAATGGATAAACACATCCTGCATTGAGTACAGTGCACTCACTGTATGTTTTTATTTTTGCTGCCTAAATTCTTCATGGTGCTGATTCAACAAGGTGCCAGAAACATTCCTCAGAGACTTTGGTCCATATTGACGTGAAAACATCACACAGTTGCTGCAGATTTGCTTGCTTCACTTCCATGATATGAGTCTCCCGTTCCATCACAAATGTGCTGTATTCGATTGAGATCTGATGACTGTGGAGGCCATTTGAGTACAGTGCACTCACTGTGATATTCAAGAAAACAGTTTGAGATGTGACGTGCTGGAAGCAACCATCAAAAGATGGCACAGTGTGGTCATAAAGGCATGGACGTGGTCAACAACAATACTCATTACACTGTGGTGTTTAAATTATGCTCAACAGGCACTAAGGGCCTCAAAGTGTGCCAAGAAAATTTTCCACACCATTACACACTCAGCACAAGCTGGCTTATGCCAAACTCTGACCTTACCAGCAGAAATCAGACCAGGCAACATTCTTTTGTCTATTGTTGTCCAGTTTTGGTGAATTGTTACCTCAGTTTTCTGCTCCTGTCTAACAGGAGTGGCACCTGGTGTGGTATTCTGCTGCAGTAGCACACCTTCATGTTTGGTGTATTCAGAGATGATCTTCTGTGCATACCTTAGTTGCAACAAATGGTTATTTGAGTTACTGTTGCACTGCTATCTGCTTGAAACAGGCTGTCCATTCTCCTATGACCTGTGGCATCAACAAGATATTTTCACACAGAGAACTGCAGCTCACTGGATATTTTCTTTCTTTCTCTGTAAACCCGAGACATATGTGGGAAAATCCCAGCAAATCAGCAGTTTCTGAAATACGCCAAACAGCAACCTCGCCAAGCTCAAAGTCACTTAAACCACCTTTCTTACTCATTCTTATCCTCAGCTTGAATTTCAGCAGGTCTTGACCATGTCTGCATGCCTAAATGCACAGAGTTGCTGACATGTGACTGGCTGAACAGGTGTAAATAATGAAGTGGCTGCTGAGTATCTTCCTGTTACGTCCGTGATGGCAAAGCATCAGGGCACATGAATGTTTACACTACAAAAAACATGTGGACAAAGCTAGCGGCTTGAGTGATCAGACCAAAAAGCTCATCCTGATTGCGGGTTACCATTGCAATCTGTAGCAGGGGCTTTGTTAACTTAGTTACCTCGAAGACAAGTAGTTTCACCTTTTTAATTGAACGTGGTCTGTCAGTATGAAGTAAAATTCTCTAGAAATGTAAATAAAATCTAATCTTCACTCATCGGTTTAGCAGGTCACAACATGTGAATGTGACCTTTGTGTGTCAACAAATAGACAACAGTTTTCACACTGTACGCAAACAAGCAAGTATACATTAGCAATGTTAGACTCGAGTAAGCCAACACAGACGAAAGGGTGTCAGTGTATAATCTCAACAAGTTTCCCTTTAACAAGCATTAACTGGTAACACCACAGTAAAACACTCAAAACACAGCGCAAGCACTTTGAGAAAGCCACAGACACGAGTGTGCTGACAGTGAAGTGTCACAAAGTCAATACAGCTCAAAATACAAACTTCTCTCGGAAATGTGAAGGGCTAATTATTAGTCAGTTTTAATCTGGACACTGGTTGCATCAAAAATATCTCCCTCTGGAAACACAATCATGTATCCCTGCTCTGATCTTATGTTGAGGTTTGATATGGACAAAAGCAGCACTTTGCTTTAAAGGCAGAGCTGGAGAATAAATAGCCTTGAAAAAAAAGGAAGACTCTTTCATCCTACGGCTTGATGCCGTTTGTGGATTTTTCAGTAGCTGCTGAAGAGCCCGAGATGACTTCTGCTAAAAAGAATAAGCCACTCAAGCCACAGCAATATACTAAAGTGGACAGTGTGGTTAACGTCACAATAAAAGGATATTTCTTTACAACGAGACCCCTCAGAGGAGGCTCTGTCCCATCCAGCAAGCCAACCCAGAGCTGGTGCAGGGTTCCACTCCAACTCAATTATTGATGCCTCTCAATGACTGCGCTCTCACCACACTGAACTTTCCTCTGCAGGTGCATCGTTGCCAAGAGACAAGATGGGCAAAATAATTCACAGGCAGCCATGGTCACAAGCACAATGAGAAGTACATAACAAGGGGTCATACATAATCAAGGGCATGTAATATGAGAAGGTAAGGCCACAAAGGAATCATTTCTGTATGCAGATTTATTCAAAAAGATGCTAATTTAAAGGAGGAAGCGTGTGTGTTCTCATAAGTGTGGAACAATCTGTTTCAATAAGGCGTAACAAGAAGCGCAAAGCAGCAAACATGGCACCAAGACGGGGAGAGGAATAGTCAGCCTGCTCCTTTTCAAGTTTTTTGGCCTGCCAAAAGAGGATCGAGGAGACAAGATGAATGAAACAGAAACTTCAGGCTGCCAACCATCTGCTAGCTTCACTGCGAGATGAAGGGAGAAACAGCTGCCGTCCCAGAGATGACAATTTGTCTAACCAACATGCTGCATCTACACTAAAAGCTAAATAAATTACCTTTAATTATATATGTGAATAATGTCTTTTTATACTTTCAGCATTAAGATAATTGACTTTTTCTGACATGTATGTTAGACATCCCCAAAACAAAACCACAAAATACTGCTGGCACCTCGATGTAAACATAAAAACATTATCCAAGCATTCAAGTGTTGCTGACGTGGTTGAATTTCTTGAGTTTCACTTCATTGTGTTTATGTGGGAATATGAAAACACTTATGGATGGTAGAAAGATGTGTCGTATTTTACTGAGTGTAAACAATGCGTTCATGGGTGTCTCCAGCATGCAACTGCTTTTCTGACTCATTTTATCATGATTACTGTTAAAAATTACTAGAATAAAAGGAAAGGCCTACTTCTTCTTCTTCTGGCTGCTCCCTTTAGGAGTCACTCCTTTAGGAGTGGATCATCTTATGCTATCCCTACCATCCTATTCTGTCACACCAACCCTCTGCATGTTCATCTTCACTACATCCATGAATCTTCTCTTTGATGTCCCCTTTTCCTCCTGCCTGGCAGCTCCATCTTCAGCATCATTTCCCCAAAATATTCACCATCCCTCTTCAACACATGTCCAAACCATCTGTCTCGCTGATACACTCATTTCTAATCTTGTATATATGGATTACTCACAGTAAAATTCTTAGCATCTTTATCTGCTGGTCTTGAAGCTATCCTTCCATCACAAATTACCCCTGACACTCATCTCCACACACTCCACCCTGCCTGCACTCTCCTCATCACCTCCCTTCTGCGCTGTACGTTGCTTTGCATGGTTGATCCAAAGTGTTGAAACTCATCCACCTTCACTGCCTCTGCTTTTTGCATCTTCTCCTTTCCATCTATCTCCATCTGATTCACACCCATCTATCCTGACTTGACTTTCATTCCTCTTCTCTCCAGCGCATACCTCCATCTCCTTTATACTTTCTCTACACATATCAGTGTTGACTGTGAAGATCACAGTGCAGAGAGACTCCCGCCTGACCTCCCCCTCACCACTGCAAACCTAACCGATGGACTTTGCAAAATCTCTTTTTCTTTTTACAATTTTAAAATCCCACAAAGGCCATGAAGCTAAATCACTTTAGCTAGCATGAACACATGAGAGCGGTCAAAACAAATCGCCTATGACAATGAGCCTCATTTAGTAACGCCACCCACAGCTGATCGTGGAATATCCAGGAGGGAAGAGATTTCCCAAACTGAGTTGTTGCAATGGTCCCACCATGGAAGCACAGCATGAGTAGAGGTATCTTTTTTTCCTCTTGTACTTTCCCATTGTAGTGTACATTTCAGTGTTTTTCTGTAACGCTACCGATCTCCGACTTGTATCCCCATGTAATGTCTGTGTTGTGTGTGTAAGGTCGGGGGGGGGGTCCCATTTTACTGCAGGGCAACCTGCATGTGGCGAATAAAGCTTTGATTGCAGTGGTGATATCCTATAACAGCAGCACACTATTATTCACTGAGTGTTTAGAATGACCCGTTCTTTCACAAATGTTTGTAAAGGCAAACTGCATGGGTAGACGCATGATTTTATACACCTGTGGCCATGTCCATAGTCCATATAGTTTATACTCTCTGTGGTTAGATAACCCAGGCTGTGTCATACCTTTAAGCTGCTGGTTGTTTCAGCAATGGGGCTGACTTTTGGTTTAAGGAATCCTTCACTGTCACCGATGCTACAAAGGAAACATCAGACACAGAGAATGAAAAAAGTTTATCTTTTGCTAATTTAGAGAGCTACACCTTATTTTTTAATACAATATGACACAGTTAAATAAACGATCTGTTAAAACAAGCCACATAAACAATAGAAGTAGAGCATTTTTTAAATTTATCATGGAGTTTTAATTACCTGTTTTTCAGGATGTTGAAGCTAGTTTGCTTGATTGGAGTATCTCCCCCACGCATGATCTCTGCACTTTGACTTCTAGGAAGTGTCTCCTTCAAAGAGAGAATCAGTTACGATAAGAAAATAAACGCAATACAAACAGCTCAATTCTTGCTAAGAGCTCAGGCTCTGCATCGTTATTACTTACAGGCTTTTTTGCTATAGTTGGAGGCGTGCTCTTGGCATTAAACTTCTCTGGTATCTTGAAATTTGACTTGGGAGCCTCAAAAGCTGTCACCTTGGCAACAGATCGAGGGCTCTTTCCGAGGCTGCTACTTGCTGGAGTAGCCTGGCTCTTGAGCTCAATGCTGGAGGAGGTAAACTGGGGTGAAGCGTAGGGATTCAGTGTTGGAGAGGGGAGGGAAACTTCTGGCTCAACAACTTTTCGAGCGTCAAGACTCGTGGACCTTTTCCGCTCTTCAAATCCGAGCCGCTGCCTCGCTCCAGAGCGCCCTCTGGTCTGTTGGGCGCTACCCGGTGTTCCACTGTTGAACTTACTGATGAGCTTGTTGATGGGAGCCAGGGAGTTGGTGTCGATTACAGGGACAGGTTCCTCGTTAGTTGATGCTGGAGGTTCGGGGAATGACTGTGACAAAGAATTTGGATTTGGTTTCTTATCACGGTACCTCCCCAAAGAGCCGGTGAAACCAGAGCCAGTTTGGTTTACCCCTCTGGGTCCCACGGGGTTAAATTTGACAGGTTTAAGTCCTGCTTCGTTATATGTTCCTTTACTTGTCCAGTCTGTGTTTTTCTCTGTTTCACTAGGTGTCGCTTTGAGTAGGGGTTCAGCTTTCGGCTTCTCTACCTGTTTTTCTCTGCCCATCCCATTCTCCTCCTCTCCCTGTGTCCCTGCTTGACCATCCCCTGGAGGTCTTTTGAGAGGGCTCCCAAAAATTTCCCCATCCTCATCCTCTGCTGGGGAAACAGGGGACTGTGATGAGTTGTCAGCAGGTGTGTAGGGATTTAAGAATTCTTTCGGAACTTTATTAATTTTTGGAAGGCTGTTGTACGGTGACGGTGCCCCCGAGCTGGAGGTGGGGGTTTTTAACTGAACTCCGTATGAGTCGCCTTTCTCTCCATCCTTCAGGACCACGTAAGGCTGCCCAGAGATTCCCTGAATCCTCACTGCCACACCATATTTGTTGGAAGGAGTCACCGCACTGTTGTTTCCCCTGGATTTATCAGGATAAACGCCGCCTGTGTCATGGAGGTCTTTGATGAAGCGGATCTGAACGCCATGATCCACCGGCATCTTCCTGTCAGCAGACAGGCTACTCATGCTCACTTCCTGGTTTTTGGTGCAAGCAGCCTGAGCAAACAAGGGGTAAAAAAAGCAGGAATGCAAATCAGGTGATTCAGTGGAACAAGTAACCAGGACATTTATTGCACGAACACGGAAGACTTCCCAGGTGGAGTCATTATGACTGGGCAAAAATATCACATTGCGCGTATATCTTGATGAAACTATCATCTTCTCTTGCTGCTCTACAAGTTGAATTCCTTCTCAGCAAGAACTGTATTGTATTCGTGCCATGCCAAATATGCCACTGGGGCACTCAGCACCTCTTTGTTCAGGCCTACTTTTTTCCAGAGGGTGTGTCTATTGTAAGAAGGAAAAATACTGCAGGAGGCGTTCTGTATGAGACACCTGGAGGTTTATAGCCTCTTATTTATACAGTCACACTCTGTACAAATGTTAACAAAACAAACATAAGATACAAAAAGAGGGTCATTCAGTTGATTCCAATTCAGATTATGAGTGCAATGCAACATCTTAATGACTTATTTTAATTTAAAACTTAGAAAAAAAGGTGGAACAAGGACCTACTCAACCCCAGACTCTGTCAGTTAGCACTACAATTTATTTAAAACACAAGTTTTAATATCAAGTTAAAGATCTAATCCACCAATTTTAACCATTAAGTCTCCATGAACTTCTGTCTGTGATCAGAGTTATTGTAACGGTTCTGCACATCTGAAGAAACTTTCTAGAAGGAGAAATGAATCCTGGTTCGGAGGTTAAAAATGCTGCCACCCTCTTCGTATTTGAGAGGAATATCAGTGAGGGTCAAACAAAAGGATGATATTTGATTCAATATGAGAAAGTGCATGCTTTAACAGAAGCTGTTTTTGAGAGTCTTTCAGCTTTATATGAGTCTATTCATCATTCTTCCACTTCTCTAATTCAGAGTTGTGGTTGGGCTGGAGCCTATGGCAACTGTCACAGCTCAAAGGGGGGGGTACACCACCACCTGCTGCAGGGCTACAACCTTTAATTTAGAGAAGTGCAACACTAAATGACTGCAGAAACTTATTTTCAATGTCAAACCAAAAATAATGTGTATATTACAAACTTGACAAAGAGATCCATCGCAGCACTCAGGATGGTTGGAATTGCAGCTCAACTTTGGGTTTAAAGACTAAATTTAAGTGACTCAGTCAGCCATAATATTAAGAGCACAGCCTAACCAAGTCCACCTTTTACAGTCTGATGAGCTCAAATGACCTCGGCGATGAACGCCATGAGAAGGTGAATACTCCTCCTTTTGTCCAGGCTCTGCGGAGCATAAAACACAAGGGGCTATGCGAGGAATGGGCTCCCCCTCTCCTGCCACCAAACTTCAGAGCAGAGCCACTCAGGCATAGACTGTTTACTTTAATATGCAAGGTTGTGCATACACACATCCACCTGCTGTGCATTCCCCATCTGGTTGTAGTCGAGTGAATAAGCATCGCTCCTCTCACTCTCATTGCAAGCGAAAAAGATGAAATTGCATGTGATCATATTAAAACCCTTCTCTGCCTTCTCCTGCATGTATTTAGGTGCTCCTAATGTTAATTTTAGCTCACCATCATCTCATTTGTCCTCTCGTTTTGATTAAAATTTAACTGTCCTTGACTGCTGGCTACAGTGTAACACGCAGGACCTCGACCGCCAGTGAGGTTAGATTAGTAGATCAAAGGGACTCTGTCTTCCCTTAAAAACATTCTCAGGATTCCGGACGTTCCCTTTCAGCATTGCGCGTGGTTTACATTTGTATAATAAGAACAGATTAAAAGAAATTGAGGACAGCATCAACAATAAAGCCTACACATGCGGAAAAACTGCTAGACAAAGTGGGGAATACGGGGCGAGATAAATCAAACATTAAGCAACCAGTTTTTCAGACCATGTTGTGTGTCAAAACAATGGCCTATGCCTGAGCAAAATCTGTGCTTGCTTTTTTTATTCAAAGGGAAGATGCCTATTGTATTATTGCCCAGGCGCTCAGCCCTTACACTGAAATCTCTCAGGTGTATTTATGTTCTCTTGGCTATTTCGGCTTCACACAAAGGCTCAGTTGTTGTACAGCTGTTGTTAACCAGCCAGTAGCCGAGAACTGTTTGGCGACAACTGGTTCACCTCCTCTCATACTCTCTCTGTTTCTCTCATGCACAAGGATTGGCTGTGTCAACAGACACAGGAATGCCACCAAACTGGCCAATCAGCCATCTCTGGTCCCTTTCTCCTCACTCGGCCGGCTCTTCTAATTTTCATCTGGTGCTGTTCCTGCACCCCAATCAGCTTAATTTTTATCCCACAGTTTATTTTGTTCACAAGTATGTTAAGGAGACGAGTTTTGATACAACAGTTTGGTGGCGTGGCTGAAATCTGTTATCTCTGCACATTAAAATTCCAGCTTCTTTCTTTATTCTTGCAATTCATCAGACAAATGACGTCTTGTATCGGATTCAGCCACCATCTGCCGTCCAAACACATATCCAAGTACACCAAATAATATTATAGAGCAGGGGTGTCAAACATAAGGCTCGGAATCCAGGATTGGCCCAGCAGATACTCAAATCCAGCCCAGTGGAGGGCTTTGGAGAATGTGAAGAAAGGGATAGATTTTGAACTTTTAACTGTAGTTTCATTAATTTTACAGCTTTTTCTATGATAAAGGCCTCCCTTTTGGCCATTATTACAAAACCAAATAGTTGCACAATAGATAAACAATTAAATGACACTTCCTGTTTTCCAATATCTACTATAGAAACTTTCTATTATAGACAAAAGAAATTCTTTATTATAAATACAGAAGAGTCTGCGCAATGAGCTACCAGAACCTTTTCTGCTGTTTTACACATTTATCATGGAGGAAACAGAGAGATACTGTTGAAATAGAGTTTGTTGTTTAGTTAAAAGGATAGTTTCTCCAGTCTGGGCTATGATGTAAGCTGACATCCCTGAGATATTCAAAATCCTACAAACACTCCAGCCCCACCACACCAACAAAAAACACATTATGATTTTATTCTGATAGTTTTGCAATATCTTCTCAGTATTTCTCGATTCACACATGGATGGCTTTGTGTGGCTTATAACTTACTTGTAATAAATAATTTACATTATACAACTAGCCTATGTAAAAACCGCACAAATTAAAACGATTACACTAAGAGAAAAATAATAATTTGATGCCAAAAAACATCAAACTATCTACAGCAGAAGAGCTAGTTTTTGGGGCTGTGTGTTGGGAGAAGAAAGGGGCAGTTCTGTGGTCTAAAATAGCAACAACATGGTAATAATATTCCCTCATTAAAGGCGCATGTTTACGCAAACACCTCAAAATGAGCTTGGAGCATAAATTTGAGGTCAGGACTATTTCTGGGGCAATTTATTTTAAGACAAAAATCAAGTAAACACTCGATTTTAGAACAGCTTGTAAACTTTAGTGAGCTGTCATGAGGCTTATCCCACTTTTCCGCCACGTCCGTCTACTCCAAGCGCTACAAAGGCTGCTTTGCATTTCCACGGTACACTTAATTCACAAACCTTGACTCATACGACAAATAATCATTGAGAAGTTTAACCATTAAATAGAACCCAAGCACCTGTGTACTCGTGGATTAATTGCGTCACACCCACCTTTCCGGTCAGTCAGTATCGGTGCGCGTCGAAACCACAGTCTTGTGTTTTTTCCCCTCCCTCTCTTTCCCTTTTCCACGAGCCACTGGGACCACGAGCGGAGCAACAAGATAAACAACCGAGGCACCTGCCTCCCAGCGAGACGTCGTCGCAGCCTATTTGTAGCTTTTACCTGCCATAATAATCTCTCATATCCTCTTTACGCAGCGCCGAAGGATCCGATTATAGCTCGCGCATCAGCGCTGTGAGCGCACACCGAGCATAAAAAACCCCTAAAAGAAACCCAACAGACAAAAACGCTTGACAGCATACAATAAAAGGCTTTGTTTTGTTTTTTTGTTTTGTTTAGCTCATTATCAAGAACAGGAAAAGCCGAACACAAGAGAGGGCGGCTGCCAAATCCAATCACAAAGCCACAGGTGTCCATCTGCGCAAACCCAAATGTTGTAAAATGCCTCATCAGCAAAACAGATCTCACTCACATTTGGTTTAATTTTTAAAAAGAAAAAACAACGACAAACACATAGATGGTTATTTTACTGCACCTGTAAAAATGATCCTTATGCTGAATGATCCTCCTCACTTACGGATCTTGCATTTGACAGTCCTTCAAGAAGCAGCAGCAGCAGCGCTGAACAATGCTGGTGGGATGAGAAGGTGCTACTCAGTGAACCGATAACATAGGGGTAACTCTCCCCTGCTACCAGTACAACCTGTTGCCAGAACATCCGATAGTGAGCGTCCCGCCTCAGTGCCGCCTTCATTAGTTGGGAGGAAGACCGAGGGGGAGGAGCCTGCTGCCTGGGCTCAGTCACATCAGGGGTTAATACACTACATCGAGTGTGACCCATTTCATCCATGCATAGGTCTTACGGTAAATAATCTCTTAATCATGCTGAAAATGGCGTTTGAGTTGGTGGTATTTATATATGTTAATATAGCATATCCAATACAGCTCACTATCAAAGTTTTTACACAATGCAACTCCATCCTTTGATCTGTTTTGTTAAAGATCCTTAAACTCTACTTGTAAAATGTATCCAGGGGTTATCTGGAGAGAATGACACGGTCTGAATGCAGGATGTTAAATAGGTTCAAAATAAATGTGTATCTGCCAATATGGAACAGTAAAATGCTGAATAGTTGTGATAATGAATTAACATCGTTCATTTTAGACGACCATGTAAAAGCTACACAAATGGTCAAAGTGGGAAAATATAAAACTGAGATGTGATTAAGAAATGTAGCTTCTATATATTTTATTGTTCCCGGTTAGAAAAACTGGTTTTAGAACAAGGGTAACTGTATGAAGCAAATGCTTCAGTTAATAATTTTGGTTCTATTTTACTTTTAAAAGCTCCTTCATAATGTGCATTAATATTATAATAAATGTTATTGCATCTGAACTCCAGCAGGTACAGGTCTGTAAAAAGTATGCTGCTTTCATGAAGTGGTAAGTAGCAGCCAGGTGCCGCTAATCAAATGTGCTTAACTGATCAACAGCAAGTGTAATACATAAACACTGTTCAGATGTGTTAGCATAATGTTGAGTAGACATCAACAATCGTCTTAGAGAAGCCAATGTTTCTGCCCATCAGGGTTATAAAGCCATCGCCATACAATTTTAAGTCCATTGTTCTGCACTAAGATTATTCACAAGTGCAAAACATTCAGGACAGCTGCCAGTCTTCCCACGAGCGGGTGTGCCAGCAAATTTAACCCATGGTCAGACCAAGAAATCCAGGACAATAAAAACCCCAGGGCCTCGGTTAGAATGTTAAATGACATGATAGTACAATTAGAAAAAGACTGAACAACTATGAATTGTTTGGAAGGGTTGCCAGAAGAAAGGCACAAAGCAACACAACTTAGGTTTGCAAAGATGGATCTGAACAGACTGCAAGACTTGTGGAACAATGTCCTTTGGACAGATGAGATCAAAGTAGATGTTTGGCCATAATTCACAGCATATCAGCACAACTACCTCCTACCAACTGTCAAGCATAGTGCTGGAGGGGTGATGTTTTGGGCTTGCTTTGCAGCCACAGAGTACCCTTCTGTATACCAAAATATTCTACAGCCAAATGTGTTCAACCTAAACTGGGCACACCAGCAAATCTACAACAGAATGGCTGAAAAAGAAAAGAATGATGTTATTTAATTAATGCTGCCAAATGTAGTACAGTTTTTCAGGGGACTGCACAGTCCTATGAAAACTGTATAAACCTAATTATTTCAAATATTACACTTTAAACATTTCCCTTTTTATGAATGCAGTAATTGGTTCTAACTTGGACTAATGAAAGGAGAAAAATATTTTAAGGAATCTGATTTCATTATTGCTATTTTTCAGTTATTTTTTTCAGTTATCAGTTATTCATCCATTAACAAAGGCTTAATAAAATAATGTAATAATCCCAGCTGATGAAACCATTAATAAAGCCACACAAATATTAAAGAAGCACCGTTAACTCGGCATTTACAGCAAACAACATTGTTGCGTTTTCTAATCATTTTAATAGAATGATTA